ATATACATATATACATATATATATATAGATACGGGGAGCGAGAGATAGAACGAGACAGCGAGAGAGAGAGAGAGAGAGAGAGAGAGAGGGAGAGCGAGAGAGAGAGAGAGAGAGAGGAGAGACAGAGAGACAGAGAGAGAGGGAGAGAGAGAGACAGAGAGAGAGGGAGAGGGAGAGAGAGAGCGAGAGCGGGAGAGAGAGAGAAAGCGAGAGAGAGAGAGAGGGAGAGAGAGAGGGAGAGAGAGAGAAAGCGAGAGAGAGAAAGAGAGAGAGAGAGAGAGAGAGAGAGAGAGAGAGAGGGCGAGAGAGACAGAGAGAGACAGAGACAGAGACAGACAGAGAGAGGGACAGAGAGGGCTTTATGAAAGTGGCAAGCTGAACCCTAGACAGACGGACTGCTTTTCTCCGCCTGCTCGTCGCAGTACCCGCCTCAGGAAACGCAAAACATCCAAGCTAACGCAGCCTCGTTCGGGTGCCCACCGGCCACATCTTTCGAACCTCTGCGCGAGGGCTTTATGTCACCTTGCGATGTCGGGAGGCTTCGGCCTTGTGCAAAGCCAGACTCGGAACGAACATGGCGGCAGGACCAGATGATAATGGTCTGAGAACCATGTCCGCCGCAGCCCTTCAGGCAAGTCACACACTCAATGTCCATTCTGCGCTCTGCTGCCCTCTCTGCTCCATGCAGTCCAGATGGGATGGGCAGGAACCAAACATGGGCTGCCTGGCGATGCTGCCGTGCGTCAGCAGAGTCGCTCCTGGAAGCAACCGAGCAGCCACACCCAGAACCAGGGACATCCTGAGACCGAGCGCGGCTCCATGACCCTTGTTGAGTGGGTCGAATCCTGACGAAGCCTTGCCTGGAAAGGCACACAATGAGGGCCTAGGTCTAATCTCCTGTAGTACCTGAGTCCCTGTACTGGAGGGTCTCCGAAGGTTCGGCTCATGAACCTGAAGCTAAAAACGTGGAAGGGGAAGATACTCCTCGTGCCTTTCCCGGCTGCCGAGCTCCTGGCCACGGCGATCGGAGGAGAGCACTGCAAGGACTGGCCTTGATTTCCAGATGTCACGCTGCCGCAAAATTCCCAAGTGGCGCAAGGCCGGCTTGTCAGTCTCACTGCGCTTCTGACAAGCGCCTAGCAGATCAGATTGGATGTTGGCGAGAGCGGCTCTTGCATCGCTCCGTTCCTCACATCAATCACGATATCGGATATCGGATATCGTCTGCCAATGTGCAGCCCGAAACGATGCCACGGCGCCTCGGCACTTGGCCGCTAGGCAATTCAACAAACGTTTCCCCCCTTGGACCGAAGTCCATGGCGGCAAGTGACGTTAAGGAGGTATACAAACGAAAGTTGGAAGCTATGTCTCTGCGGCACTTTTTGCGAGGAACCCTCTGGCAGCTCCATTTCCGCTTGATGCAGACATCTTACGCTGCCGATGACCGCCTGCTTCCTCAATGCCCAGTGCAACAGCAGCTTCGTGAAGCTCGAAGTAAAATGAAGCATCAAGGAGGCTGCTTGACATCTTAGCAAGCGCGATTGGGCTGGGTGACGCATTGAAAAGGACAGGGAGAGACAGCTGCGCTGCCCCTCAAACCTCAATAATTTGAAACTTGTGCCGCAGCTACCTGCGGCGCCCTACTTGAAGCTTGGCCTCCAGGGCCATCATCTCCGCCACAATGCGCTTGACTGCGGCAAGCCTTCAGCATCAAAGGATATCTTTGTGTCCTGAAGACGTTGAAGACCAGCTGAGACAGAGGCCCGACTGGGCCAAAGTTCATCTCCCCATGCCCCAAGTTTGGAAACCAAAGCAGCCTGGCACATGCTTTTGCCGTGGCAATTCGACAACTAAGTCTCTCTGCGACCTCAAGGCATCTGTGCTTTGCTGCTGCAGCCAGCCGGTCAGATAGCGTCGTACCTTTGTAACGATGGGCAGCCACTCGACCCAAGTTGGAAACACGGTGCAGCTCAGGAGCAGAATGCGCTGGAACCTGAGCGGCTGACAGTTTCCCACCACGGGCTGCGGATTGCGGCAGAGCTCAACGACTCTTGACACAAGCATGCTCGCAATTCGTGCCCCCGCGGCAATGGAGTCCTCGCCGGACAGCATCACCAGCGTAGGCATCACCAGCTCCTTTCGCGGTAGGCTCCGTCGAAGCGCCATGTGCCACTACCTAAAATTCACCGGCCTCAGGCCACAGCAAATTCTGATACCAGAAGAAGTTCCGGGACAGACTATGCCTCAGGAACTCCAAGCAACCGACAAAACACAGAATCACAGAATCGCCCATGGCGGCCAAAAAACGCGATGAAGAGCTCGCGAGCAACGAAGTAGTGCATCAGCAGCTGCGTGGGCGTCTCCGGCCGCCTGTACATGAAGTTGTAGCAAACCTCGCGGGACAGCTTTGCCATGCAATGTGCAATGCAACGCAGCATGCAGCATGCGAAGCCTGTGCGTTTAGAGAGGGCCCTGGCATCTGGCTTGATGAGAAGGAAGCAGACTGGATCCAAGAAAGTTGCAACTTTGACCTCGTCTGGCAGCTGGCACTTCTGAGTCTGAGTCCTCCTGGGCAAATGACTATCTGAGCACAGTGCAGTCTCCTTGGAGTTCTTACACATCCAGGCAACTACGATGGAACCGAAGGAGTGGCCGACAAAGTGAGCCTCCAAATCATTCCAGCGAGCATTTCCCCCTCCCCCTCATGTTCGGCGAGGCACCGAGTCGAATTCCCAGCTGGCAAGCATGTCCCGGAGGCAGGCGACCATCTCGGCACTGGAAGGCACATCCTGCAGCTCAGCTGGCCAGACCCCGCCGCCCCGGCCAACCCCCACTAACTGCCGTCCTCATTGATTCGCATCGAGATGTGCGGCAAGGATACCAGGAAGATAGTCTTGCCCTTCGGCACTTGCCTCGTAAGGGCTCAGTCAACCCTGCAGGCTTGCTGCATTCCGACTTGCAGGGTTCAGCTCACAGTTCCGGCCTCAGCAGCTCTGTGATGAAGTGCTCCTCAAGGTCCAGAGACCAAGGCTGCATGCTTGCAACATGGTCTGCTGCAGATAAATACGACTGGAAAGCCACACGCGGTTTTGCTGGAATGCTCTTCGACGCTCGACCATTCCCAGCTGCGATGTACAGCAGCACACCCTGCAAGTTACTCTGTGACTGTCTTTAAGCTTCCTTGCCTCAGGGCTTTACTAACTTTTAGCGGCTTCAGAACTCGATAGTGCTACAGACCGTTGTCAGGAGCCATCGCACAAAAGGACGCGGCTCAGTGGGCTGAAATCAACCGAGAGGGGGGGTTACTATCATGAGGCTGACGTTATCACGCGTTCAGCACCCTCCACGCCAAAAGCCCACCATGGAAATAGCTCGAGCTCCCCAGTTTGGAAACCCACATGTTGTGAATCTTGTGGTTACCGCTGCCCTTGCCAATAATTCTCAAGAAACCTGCTGTGCAAGCCAGGCGGCGTATGGCAGCAAGTTGACTCCCACCCCGTGGCAAAAGACGATTGGGGGCTCTGCACCTGGAAGATGCCCAACCAATTCCCAACAGCGCAATTCTCGTGACGGCTCTGAGCCCCTTTCTCTTGCCCCTGCCACGACGAAGCCAGTACTGAAGTGTACCACTCCTGGCAGTCAGCATATTTTCGTCAAGCATGGGTCTAGTGCCGCAAGTAAGTTCCGGTCTTGTGCTTCCGAAAACCCAAGCTTTCAAGGTTGCAGTACGTCACGACCTTTCAAGACTACGCACAAATTGCTTCTCTGAGTAACTCCCTCCGCTTTCTGAGCCCAAATCCGGAAGTGCGAGGGCCGTCACCTGGCCAATTTTATGGTCTGGCGACGCTTGAAGCTTGCAGCTTCTTGTGAACTTGAGTATCTCGGCAGCTGGCAATGTAGTAGAACATCGGGCGATGCTCGGATGGGATGGGATCCTGCACATGGCCCATGGATACCAAAAGCTGCCCGAAACCTTGCTTCGAGACCTTAACCCCTGCCACCTAGAGAAGCCTATCACTGAAGCAAATCTCCCAATCCAAGGCTGCGACCATCGTCAAGCGCATGGCCTCATCACGACAGACAGCTTGCATCCAGCCCGACTTCCCTCTTTAGCAGCATTACTGACCTGCACGTGCGGGTTGTACCCCTCGGGGAACTCAACGCCGGCCCAAACGGCACCTGCCAGCAGCCAACTCGTTCAGCTTGCCAGGCTCTCAGTTTGGCGGTGATTGCTTACAGTCCAGCCTTCATCTACTAGCTGGACAAGTTCTGGCCACCTACTTTCGGGCACCTGGCCGGAAGCCAAGAAACTGCCAAATACGGCATCTTGCACCGCGCACAAAGTCCAAGCCTTTTTGCATTTAAGCTCTTCGAAGGCAGCCCGCTGTCTGCAATATCTCGCGGCAGTGCCGCTTCCTTTCGGAGTTGCCTGGGCCGAGAAAGTCGAGAGCATTGTCTCCATTCTCGTCGACTGCATGGACATCAGCTCGCCAATGTAGTAAGAGCCGGCAAACGCTTCCCCTCGCGCGGTTGGCAGCACAAAGAAGTGGAGTCTCCTTGAAATCGTTGCGAGAATTAGGATCTACTCTTCGATCCAGGAGGACTTGCATGATGCCCACGTGCCCGCCACGAGCGGCCAAATTCAATGGCGAGTTGTGCCCTTTCGTCCGTACACAAATATCTGGGTCCACGCCTTCTGCCAGTAAAGCGTGGACCGTCTCTATGTCTCCCTCGTAGCATGAATTTGCCAGACGCACGCCATCCGCAGATCTGGGAGACAAACCTTCGAGTTCATCTGTTTCTGGTGGCGCTTCGAAGGTCAAGGTCACTGAACCAGGCCATGCACGGTATGCTTTGGACAGTACATCACCCAGTTCCCGCTTGGACATCCTCAATCGCCAGCCAGCCGGAACACCCTTGCCCGGCAATGTCACTCGCATACACATGATGGCTGGATCAAGGAAGCTCATATCCCTTTTCAGTTCCTCCATGAGCGTGTATGTGACGTCCACTGGATCAGCCATGGCAGTACAGAAAGCAAGGGCAACCGCTCATGCTCAATCATGCGCAGCCTTATCGTATCCAAATCCCCTAGATCGACACTTCATGGGGGATTGATGAAGCGGCCCGAAACGTGAAACCGCATGGAGCCCGACACACTGCCACGGTCTCGTGATGTCAGATGAGAGAAAGGGAGAGAGAGAGAGAGACACAGAAACAGACAGAGAGAGACAGAGAGACAGAGACAGAGACACAGAGAGAGAGAGAGAGAGAGAGACCCACACATGCTCCAACACCTCGTCCGGCGTGCAGTGGAAGAAGGCCCACCTCCGACTGTCGCTGCCAATGCACTGCCGACATGTCACAGTACGTTCTGCCGCAGGGCCCTGAGTCGGCTGCGCCATCCATTCGGCAAGATTTCCACGACAGATCTCTGCCACCCTAGCAGCTGACCAGCGGCAGCCTGTGCGGCGATCGAAAAACCTCGGCGGCCCCAACACTCTGAAGAGAATCCCACATAGGAAGTGCATCGTCGCTTTGTCTCTGCTGCAATGCGGGGTCCAAGCGTCAGCAACTGACAGGCTCTTCAAGCTTTGCAGGCGAGCCCGAAAGTCAGCAACATTGGCCAACATCAAACGACTGCCATTCTTGCAGCAGCGGCCTTTGCGCTTGCACTCCACTCAGGCAGATCTTGAATCCCACTGCACGCCTGCCAGCGCGTGGATTTGTTCGAAGACACAGATGCCGAATGCATGGAACCGATTGCACCGGCAGGCCCCAACACCCCACGTAGCCTGAAAAGTGGGCTGGCACTGTTTCGCGGTGCACTGTCGGCAAACCGGATTTCGGTCTCCGCCCCGAGCACACGGCCTTGGCCAGCTGTCAAAGCACTGTTCAGACACAGGGTGGCAAGGCCCGCGGCAGCCAGCACTTGGTCGCAGTGCAGCTGACCAGACCTGATGAGTCTTTCAGGGCCACTTGGAAGTTCGATCTTCGCATGCGAGCTCCCCGCCGCCGAAGCATTCTGCACAGGCCTGGCCTCAGGACACCACGCAACCACTGGGAAGCGAGCGGTGCTCTGGGAAGCGAGCCGTATCCCCGCTTGGCCATGCAGTTCGTTGCACACGCCGCGCGTCCCACACATCGTTGGCCGCAGACATCAATCTCCTGAGGCTGTGCAAGGCTGCGCGAGGCTGCAGAGATGTGCAAAGACGTGCAAAGACGAAGGTCTAAGGGAGCTCGGGGAGCCGGTGCCTGCAGGAAGGCGGCGCGACCGCCACCCTGCCAGGCAGCCTTGTCCTCAGCTGCGACTGCAGGCTGCGAAGCTGGGACGGAGAGAGACTCCCTGTGTCTTCCCCGAGCCGAGGAGCCGGCGGCCTTGGTAAGACAAGCGCTCTTCGCCCTGGCCTCCTCGTGAGCTCCGCTCCCTCGCCTCCAACACACCTGGAGGGGCCGTTGGCCCATCTCTCGTCGCCTCTCGCCTCTCTCCCGACTCTCCCCCAACCCGTTTTCAGCTTCCACGTAGCATGAAAAGCCCTCTTCAAAAGGAGCTGCAATGCCTCGCACCACAACATGCTTGCGCTGCAGCCCTGAGGAAGTGACACGGCAACACGAGCCGAAAGGACATGCCGACACAAGCTGACCAGCACTACCCGACCAAAAAGACAGACAGCTAAATTCTGTCTGCTCACCTTTGTACAAGTTTGCACAGCAAAACATTAAACAGTTCTTGTGGAATCATTTCGCTGAAAAGTTCGTCTGACCCTCAGAGCGGTTCCACATAACACCTTAAGCCAGATGACATGCCAATCGTGAGCTGCGCGTCTGCCCGAACTTTTTCTGGTGCGACTGCAAGACGCAAGTTGAAGTTCCCAATGAGTGAGCACAGCATTGCCTTCATCTCCAGCATTGCCAAGCGCTTTCCGAGGCATTCACGTGGCCCTGCATGGAATACTGGGTTCTCATAGGGTGACTTCGGGGCTTCCATCTCCAGCCACCTCTCTGGACGAAATTCGGATGCATCCGAACCCCATATCTCCCGAGATCGGCCCATAGCATAGGACATGTAGATCAGGGCGGCTCCTCTTGGAACATGAGTCCCATCGGGCAGTGTGTCAGCACTGGCCACGAACTTGGGGTCCAAGGGCACAGATGGGTACAGTCTAAGGCTTTCACGTATCGCAGCCTCCAAGTACCGAAGTTTGCCGAGCTTCTCGTAGTCTAAACCCTCCGCATCGCCACAGACTTCCGAGATCTCACTCCGGACCTTCTCTTGCACCTGTCCGTTTCGCATCAGCAGGAACAAGCACCATGACATGGCTTGTGCCGTGGTGTCCCGCCCCGCGATGAGGAAATTCAAGACCATGTCAGACAAGAAGTTGCGCGACAACGAAGGATCACTCTTCATGAAGAGGCCAACGAAGCTGTCCCCGGCTTCTGTGTCCAGCTTCTGCGACAGCTCATGGATGATCTGCATGCTGTACTCCTTCAAGACCTTGAAATGGGCCTCGGCCTTTCGCTCATACCCCACCCCAAGGAACCTCAGAAGACGCCAGCCTGGGATCACAAAGCGCCAGAACAAGATCCGCTGCGCCTCATCGAAGGAGTTGAGGAAAGGCGAGTCGGCGTTGTCCAAGGATCCGACGGATGCTCCGAAGCCGATTTCCCCGATTGAATCCAGCGTGAAACGATTCAGGATGCTGAACATGTCGACGTCCCCATCATGAGCTCGCAGCAAGTCCATGACCTTGTTGCAATTCTTCTGTACGACTCTCCAAATGTGATTCTTGAATCGGTTGGCCGTGAACATTTGGGAGGCTGTCTTCCTCTGCATAACCCAGTCCTCACCATCTGCATTGAATATGCCCTTTCCAAGCAAGTCGTGGGTGATCGAATTGAAGAAAGGACCCTTGGGGTAATTGCTAAAGTTCTGTTTCAGCATGTACTCGACATTTCGAGGATCACGAGTGATAACCAACGGCGTCACGAAGAATCGGAGTATGCCAAACTGTAAAAAGATGGTGCTGCCCTCTTTCTCATGCATCTGCGTGAGCTCCTCTAAGAAATTGTATCTTCGAATAGCCGACCACAGCTTTGGCAGCACTCCCAAAAGACTCTCCCCACCGATCTCGCTGCAGCCTTTGGGCTGACGCTGCAAGAGAGCAGCTGCCGCAACTGATGCGGCACCAAGCACCACGCATGAAAGGCCAACGTTTGCCTCCCAATTCCTTGAATCCCAAGTCCTCACCAGACTCATTGCAACCGCAAGCTACACCGTTGTGCTGCGGCTTTGCAGCTGTGGCATGCCAAAGGCTTGAGCAAAAACAGAAAAGCTTTGACTGACCAAAATGTGGTAGCAGAAACAGCTCAGACGAAAGCAAACATAACAGCCCTGCAAACCCAAGCGTCCGGGGCTTCAAACTCAAGACACAAGATCAAAAGCGATGTGTAGGTCAGTGTAGGTGCAGCAAGCTCAGAGCACGACAAGGGCAACGACCACAAGTGCTAGCACCTCTCTCTCAGAAACTCAGACCGATAATTTGATGGCAAGGGGAAGTCCCCGGCCTGCCATCCCCGGCGCGGAAGTGTCATGGCCATAGCGGCCCACGGATTACTAGACCCCTGAAAATCCGTGGAATCAAAAGTCTGCAAGACTTCAGGCCCTGTGTTTCTCAAAGCCGGTGCTTGCGATTGCCAGGCTTTGTTGAGCCCAAAACCTGACAAGCAAAGAATCCTTGCCCTGCTCCCTCTTCAGAGCGACAGAAAGCTGTCTCCGTGCCTAAGGCCTAGGCCAGCCACTGATCTCTGCATGCTTCAGCCTCACTTCAAGCTCGAGAAGGACAAGCATCATGTCATGCAGAAAGGTCTAGCCGACACAGACAACGACCCTCAATCATCAGAAACGGGCCTCGAGCAGTCTCTCTCAGGTTGCGGCGCCATCATCTCCGCATCGTCCATGGCCCTCTCAAAAGCCATCCGCTCCTTCAGCGCAAGCTTTTGTGATCATGCGCCTCGCACTTCGGCAGCAAGCGGCCGCGGTGCTTTCTCGCTTGTTAGAACTGCCGGCGCCATGTTCTGCGACTGGGAATTGACTGCCAGGTCAAGGCAGGTCATGGCACGACGGCTCAAACATTCGCTCTCGAGAAGCCGGTACCAGCCTCTTTTCAGAGTGTCCCATTCTCGGAGCAGCTCCTCAACGTTGGACTCGTTCCTCTTTGGGCGGAGCGCCTTCAAAGCTGCTGCACTCGATTCCGAAACACATCGGAAAGCTTCAATAATGATGTCATCTGCGGTGAGAAGCCAGCAGCCGCTTTGGGCCCAAGCCAGCAACTGGTAAGGAATCCCTCAGTTTGAGGGCCCAAGCTGAGGCTTCTTTCTTCGAGCCTCCTGCAGATCCTGCATGCTGGCCATACTCGCCTGAATACATGAGAGCAGAAGCTTGAAGGCCCAAGTGCATTATGGTGTGAAGCCCCAAGCCTTGGGAGAGAGATGCGGCGTGATCCGGCCCTGGGAGCCTTGGCTCATACGAGGTGAGGAACAGAAAATCCTTTTCGCTCCAACGGTCCCCAGCCGGAGGGTTCCAGCAGTCGGCCGCAAGCCTTCCGACCACCAGAGCTCAGAGCGAAGCCGAAGGGGTTTCGACATCTTGAAACTGCCGACTTCAAAAGGGCGATTAAAGCATTGTTGTGCGTCGAGTTCGGATCATCACAAACCCCTGGCAGTGGACAGAAGCGGCCTGAATGTCTTGCGTCGCTTGCAGAACTCGGCGGAGGACATCCTCGGCCAGCCAGAGCGAGTGCAGCGAGGGAGGGGCGATCGTGGCAGCTACGCAAATCGAAAGTCACTACGTCTCCCCATCTGAAGGCTGCATATGCTGCAGGTTTCAGACACCGCCCAGCAGGAATGAGACCTTTGGCCCCCACGGTCGCCTTCAGAAACTACTGCTGCTATCCCCGGCTAGGATGTAATCTCCGTACTGCCAAGCATGTTCCTCGGTGACGTCGTGGGATCCTTGTGCTCGATGCAGTCCAGGTAGAGCTTTGTCTCGATCCACTAATCTTGCAAGTAGTGTGCTTCCAGTTCGTGCAGCAGTGCGACAGTAGAGAGGCTGCAGCTCCCTCTCTCCAGCCCTGCCAGGGCGGCTTCATAGGTAATAACCTCGGCGGGGACAGCGGACAAGCCACAACCGTTTGCAAACTGATTATTGACGCCATGCCGCATTCATCTGCAGACTGTATCCGCTCATCTCCGACATCAGCGACAAGGCCAGGGTCCATTTGGAACTCACCGAGCACGTGCTAAGAGCTGCATTGTACGAGATCAGGTCGAGCTGTAATGATCTCATCCTCATCTCACTAAGAAGCCACACTGCGTGAGCCCAAGAACATGCCTTTTCACAAGCACTGATCGCGGAGTTGTATGTGTAGCAGTTAGGCTCCACGGTGAGAAGGCCAAGCATGTGAAGGGCCTCACGCCAGCGCCCAGCCGTCTCGAAGGTGCTGATCACCGCACTGTACGTAACGACGGACGTTTTGATTCGCCGGAACCTTCGTAACCCAAGACAGCTAGCCCCTACTGCGATGCTTGAGGCAGTGCAAGGCAGTCTCAGGGCTGCTCCCATTACAGCCAAAGGCCTCGAATCAAGCATACCCAGAGCTTGCGTCCAAAGGCCGCCCTTTTCCAACGAGCTGATGACTGCATTGCAAGATATGCAGTCTTCCTGTCAGGCACGACAGCACCCGTGCCACAGACACCTACCGGCCACAACATCCAAGCTCCTCGACCGAGCTGACATGCATCCCGACGAGCATGCCAACGGCCTGTCTCCACTGGCCTGTGCATGCGGAAACACACGTGCGACAAATGTCGAAATTGCTTACGGCATGCTCATCATGCCAACGGCGTCCATGTGCTGTGCATGGGCACCTGGTTTCTCACAGGCACTGGCAGCTGCATTGCATGCGACCCTGCGGAAGCTCGCAAGCATCTCATGAAATTCATGAAATACGCAGCGCACTCGGGAATCTCACTGTCGCGTGTCTCAGGGGCCGGCAGGTTAGCTTCCAGGCCGCGCCGCACAGAGGTATCGAGCAGGGCAAGAGCCTGTTGCCAGTAGTTCGCGGAACCGCAGGCTGCAATGGCAGAGGCCACGGAGACAACCTCAGAAAGTCCAAACTTGCACTTTGGGCAAATCTCTTGCAGCTGTAGCAGCTCCCTCCTGCTGGCAGGGCACCGTCCTCTGGAGGCTGGAGAAGTACATGCTGCCGAGAATTGACAGTGGCTGTTGCCATTTGGCCACCGCCTCCTTTGATGCAAAGATCTCGACACGCTCATGTTGAAGAAACCGTGTTGGCTCCCGGTGCTTGCTCAAAGGCTGCACGTCCCTGTCTTCAAGGATGCACATGCAACCATGGTGTGACGGCTGTTCCACGCGGTTCTTGGACAAGATCTTAGCGGCCTTTGCGGGGCGCCCGTTTCAAACGGATGGGCACCCGGCAAGGTGAGAGGCTCTTACCAACCAAGCAGGACAGAAAAGTGGCCTAGAGACCTGTGAAGTCTGTGGCGCAGACATGGCTCACGCACATCACACCTACTCAGCAAGCAAGCGCTGGGGAACGGGAAGTGACGAGACTGGGCATCAGTCCAGCTGTCCTTACCCCCACTAGTTAAACAAGGACTGCTGCTTTGTCGACACGTCCCCGACAAGACACCTTTGTGGGCTTGACAGGCACTTTAAAGTAGACAACTTAACTGCTGAACGTCTCTCGGGGCCTTTCAGCACAATTCCTGCACACCTGGGGCTGCGAACTGCTTCTGTTCCTTTCTGTTCCCAACCATCTGGGCGAGCCTATCCGCAATCTCCCAAGGGATGGTATCGGTTCAGCTACGTGGACGGGAACGTATTGACACAATAGTACACAGGCAATCCCAAATCAAGGGACGCCTCCAAGACAAACTTGCACACATTGCACACTGAGCAAAGACCACCTGCCGCTCGGCTTATCTCAGCCGCACCCGCCCGCGAATCTAAAGCGCACACAGCGTCCCTTTGAGCCTCATTTTTAAGGTGCGGAAGCGACTTACCAACCTGGAAAATAGATTCCAGCAGCAGGACAACCCCTTGGTTGTTCAGGGTTCCGGGTTTTGGGTTTGTGGTTAAAAGCTCCAGCGAAATCGACCACTTGTTAAGTTAGGTAGCAGGCAGAGGCAGGGAGGGCAAGGGTTTTGACTTCAACCTTTGGGGTTAAAGGGCTGTTTTCCCTCCTACATAGCAAGGACGAGCCCGCATTGCAGGGTTAGTTCAGAACAGAGGGTAAGGTTCCTGCTGGATTCATGGCTTGGGGTTTTCATCTCGTATATCCGTTTCTGCTGGATTCTCTCCTTAGGGCTTTCGTTTTGGGCACAGGGTTCTCGCTGGATTTACTCCTTAAGGCTTGCGTCTTGGAGAAGAGGTTGCTGCTGGATTCACTCCTTAGGGTTTCCGTCTTGGGTAAAAGTTCCTGCTGAATTCACTCCTTAGGGTTGTCGTCTTCGGTAAAGGTTTCCTGCTGGAGTCACTCCTCAGGGTTTGCGTCTTCGGTAAAGGTTTCCTGCTGGATTCACTCCTTAGGGTTGTCGTTTTCGGTCAAAGGTTCCTGCTGGATTCACTCCTTGGGGTTTTCGTCTTGGGCAGAAAGGTTCTTGCTGGATTCATTCCTTGAAATTTCAGGATTTAGGGCCTCTGATGTGTCGCATAAAGCCAGCTAGACAGCTAGAAGCTCCAGCGGAATCGACCACTTTTTAGGTTTCAGGGGGTTAAGGCAGGCAGGGGCAGAGCAGGGCAGGGCGGGGCAGGGCAGGGGCAGGAGCTGGGCAGGGCAAAGCAGGAAGCGACATGCGAGTGCACCTTACATGAATTCGCGAGTGCACCTTACACTAAAAAACGAGTGCACCTTAGACGTCGCGCCCTCAACAGCCCAGATGTTGGAACACAAGCCAAGCTGCAAATGCAGTCACAAGTATGTTGGAGTTCACAGCTGTAGCTTCAAGCTGTAGCTGCAGGAATGACTGAAGCTGCGCGGCTGCGACGCGCCAGCCCCCTGTGCCGAGACAAGACGGCGATACCCAAGACACGCACGCTGCACGAATCAGAGCTCATGGACATCAAGTGTTCCTGCGAGCCTGATTCACAGGCTTTCATGGAGGCGCTGGCGCTGTAGGCATCAAGCAGCAAGGCCCGCTGCCCCATCAGCTCCAGATCAACCATAGTCTTCCGGGCAGCGCAAAGACTGAAATGGAGCACATGTATGGTTGTTCCGATGTTCCGAGCACAGATGGAGCCTGTGCCCAGAGGGCCTTTCCACAGAATGACCGCAAGACGGCATTGTGGAGGACGACATCGGCCTCGTGCCCAAGTCTTGGCAGGACTCCGAGCATTAGCGAAACCTTAGCGCTCAAAGCGCACCTGGAGACTCCATAGGCGCACCCCTTCGAGGAGGCACGCGGACCACTCCCAATAGCCTGAGGGCACTACCGGGTTGCAGAAGGAAAGGCTGATAAACGCTGTGAACACAGCATCGAACATTAGTCTGGCTGCTCTTCCTGGCGCACGAGTTGATGAGAGCTGTCACGATTATGGCGTTTAAGGTGACAGTAGCCACTTCGCACACCAGGCATGTTGCCAGATGCCAGCGGCCGTGCTCTTGAATCTCCTGCAGCACTCCAAAGCTTGAATTCAATGCTGGCCAAGCGAGTTTGGTACCCCGCACCTTGGAAAGCAAGACCTGTCTCCACTTTGTAACACGACATGCCATACAACGTCGAAATCTGTCGACATGCACTTCAACCTAAATGACAAGCTGTGCAAGATGGAGACAGGACGGCTCACGAAGAGAATAACGAATCTGACTTACGAAGAGTGTCTGCATTTTCACCTTAAGGCTTGAGCCAGCTGCTACCTGTCGGCTTGGGCCAACACTGCAGCTGGCTCAAGGATCGTCTCCACCATGCAAGGGTGGACAAACTGAAACTGACACGCTTTTAACATCTTGCCCGCAACAGTCTTGTGGGCGCCGGCTTGCAGGGTAAAGGCAGCCACTAAACGCGTAACCCAAAACCCTCGCTGCGAAGTCGACGAAGACACAATCCAACCGCCAACTACCCTCATACTCCACCCCGCGCAAAAGCCACCTCAAAAGAGACTAGTGACTGCATCAATGCACTGGACAGTTCCGAAGCTTACTACGTCCAACATCTCCACCCCATGCAAAGCAAGAGCACAAGCAATGAAATCTACAAGCAACGCCTAGCCTGTGAAGCCGGGAGTTCAACCGACAATGTAAGGACAACGCTTCGTTTTGCATTCGTTGCCGCCGGTTGAGCTTGCTCGTCTGCACATACGCTCGCTGCTCTGCGTGCAGCTTTGACTGCTCACAGCTACAAGGCAGCGCTACATCCTGCAATCATGCCTTGGGCACGCCTCCATGCAATCTAGCATTCGAGGCAGGATGAAGCTGCAAAGAGTGTCCAGACACACTGGGTGGCTGTCCACTGCACTCACAAGCTGCGACAGCTTTGCTGAAGGTGGAAGAAGGCGTCCTGCGTGAAAGCACCGACCGTGATCCAAGCCATCCGGTGTCTAGCAAGCTGCTGGCGCTTAAGTCCTGCTTGATAGGGCGGCAACCAAACGCAAGGCTAATGGCCACTTTGAACCGGTCGCTGCTGCCCCAACCGCCGCAGCTGAGCAAATTACGTCGGCTTCCTCAGCTGTTCCATGTGCCTTGCCTGTTGCTCAGGAAATGTGCGTGCACAAGCCCAACACGTGTTTCAATGCAGGTCGAGTCCAATTCAATTTTGTCAATATCCCTCGCACACCTCAATCCCCAGCTGAAAATTGAACCGCACTGTCGAAGCAACAGTTCGAGGGTCCAGGCGATCCAACTGGAGGTCACCGAAAACTTGAAGGCCCCACCTCCACTTCGGCACGCGATCGCAAGCACCAAGTGTAGTGCCTTAGCTTCTGCATGCTTTCTGTGATGGGCCCGGAAAAGGTGTATGCATCCGGCAGAGAACAAACATGACTGCGGCCCGAGTTCTGTAGATGAGCAGATCAGCTCGAAGCAAGCGCGGGCTGAGTTCTGTAAAGATTTGGAGAGCCGACTTCCAAGCACTTCCCTTGTCACAAGCACTGCTCACAGTGCTGTAGCTGACGAGGTCGGCCTTAAAGCCAGCTTCCAGCATCTCCCATAGCAGGCACAGGGCACCCTGCCACTCGCCGCCTGCACTTGCGCACAAGATCCACGAAGCCCCGGTAAGGACAAACCCAGCTGGGGGGGTGGAGTCCAAGCCTTTCTCGTATGCATCGAGAGCCGCATTGTACACCTCTGGACTTGGCCAGGAGGCCCCAATATTCCGAAACCTCACATTGCTTTGAGAGTGCTTTGTGCTGTGCTTGGCACGCTGGCATCTCAACAAGCCATCTTGGGACCAGGCCAAATTACAGCGTCGTGCCAGCGGTGTGCTCTCCTTAGTAACAGTCCGGCCAGCGGCAGGCCTTTCGCGAGTAAAGCTTCCTGGCAGAGCCTAGGTGCAGCTAGGGCTCCCAAGAGCACTCAGAATGGCGGTGTGGGTAAAAGAGTCGGGGGCCATCCGAGCCCGGCCCATGTTCGCCAAAAGTGCCAGGCTCTGCTGCCAAGCAGCACCTGGCTTCCAGGAAGCTCGTGCAAGATTTACACCATCCGTTTTCACTGCCGAAAAACGACGCTGGGATCAGTGCCTCCCTCATATCTTGAAACTCGAATGCAACAAAAGCACTGCCGGCACAAGCATGCAGCGCAGTGTTGAAGGAAATCCGGTTCTTCAACCCCCTCATGCAAACCAGGAGTGCAAGAGCTCCGCGCCACCGGCCAGCATTGGCACAAGCTGTGATGACTGCATTGTATGTGATCGCATCCGGCTGTACATCTTCCAGCCCACACAAAGTAGCCAAGGCGAGCTCCCAACAACTCGCTGCTGCACATGCACTCAGAGCAGTGTTGTAGGTGGCGACATCTGGTTTGGGTTCTTTGCCACGAAGCACATCCAGGAACTGCAGTGCCCTCTGCCACTGTCCGCATTCTTCCAACGAGGCAAGAAAACTGTTGCACAAGGTCAAGACAGGCCCCTCGTGGATCCACAGCAGCTGCAGGGCTTGCTGCCAATATCGCCTGAGGGAGCTCATTGCGGAGACATAGAGCCGGCTGTTGGCAACAAGCCCCCTGCGCGAGGCGGAAAGTCCCACATCAAAGAATCAAAGAGCGTAAACACTCGTGCACGTGTCTGTCAAGGGTCGACCTTACACCCCGACCTGCCAGCCAGCTTCAACAGCAAGTGTAAGCAAGGTTCCCAAGAGCTGCATGGCGCACAGGCATTCACAACCGATCCCCATGCCACGATATCAGCCTGAGCAAAGCGAGCTGCCTCTGCACATGAAACGAAGCCGTCTGGGAACAGCAAGGGCCCGGAAAGCATCCCCCGGTCCTCGACGTACCCTCTTTCCAGCGCCGCAAGCAAAGCTACGGAGCGAAGCCACAAGCCTCCTTTGGAACCTCAGTC